ATAATGTCTTGAACGTTTGTTCCTGTTGCCAGAATTCTTCTTTTTAAGGCTGATGGATCCTCCATTCACTGTATGCATGGACTACATTCTGTGTAGCTATTCACCCCTTGTTGGACTTCTGACTGCTGGGAATAATACTGCTCTGAACTTGGTGCACAAATACCTGTTCAAGTCCCTGCTGTTAATTATTTTGCACATATACCCAGAAGTAGAATTGGTGGATCAAATGGTAATTCTATCCTGTTTTTTGAGGAACTTTCTCGTGTTTTCCACACTAGCTACATTTTACAGTCCCACCAGCAATGTTCTATATCCTCACCAACACTTGCTTTCTGTTTTTTAAAAACAACAGCTATCCTAATGGGTGTGAACTCTATCTCACTGTGGTTTTGTTTGCATTTTCCTAACAATTAGTGATGTTGAGCATCTTTTCATGTGCTTGTTGGTCACTGGTGTGTCTTCTTTGGAGAAAAGTCTATTAAAGTCTTTTGTCCATTTTTCAATTGGGTTGTTTTTATGGCTGAGCTTTAGGGTTCTTTATATATAGATGACCCCCAACTTAATGATGGTTCAGTGTCCAATTTTTCAACTTTAAGATGGCATGAAAGTGATATGTGTTCAGTACACTCCTTGACTCATGATATTTTCAGCTAACAATAGGTTTAACTGGGTGTGACCCATCTGAAGTTGAGGAGCATCTGTACAGTCAATTGTGTGTCTGTATATAAGGGGGTGCCCCCAAAACCCCAGAATTTTTTATAAAAAATTGTGTATTTATTCTTGCATGTTTAAACTTCAGTCACCTCCAAAGAACTCTCCATTTGATGCAATACACCTATCAAGAGACTTTTTCTACTGCTCAAAACAGTTTTTGAACTCATCAATTTTGATGCCTTTTAGTGCTTCTGATGTTTTTTGTTTCTCTTCCATAATGGCAAAACTTTTCCCTTTGAGGACTCTTTTCATCTGGGAAACAAAAAAATGTCGCTCAGGGTAAGATCAGGTGAATAGGGAGGGTGGGGTGCAGGGGTTATGCTGTTTTTGATCAAAAGTTGCTAAGCACTCAGTGCAGTGTGGTCAGGTGTACTCCTAAATCATGAAATGGGCAAATGCACTGAAAGAATCTCCCCCAAAATTCCCTAAAGCTGAACACAGCCTCTCACAATGCTAGCTGGCACACTGATGCCAATGGGTTCCTAGAACACCTATCTAGCAAGGGAAGTCTGTATTACAAGGGGCCCCCCCTCCAAAAGATAATTCTGGGATTTGGGAGTTCCCCCTTGTGTGTGTGTACATACATGTATATATATGGGGGGGAGAGGGAGAGAGAGAGGGCGAGTCTTGCTATGTTGTCCCCACTGGCCTTGAATTCTTGGGCTCAAATGATCCTCCTGCTTCCGCCTCTTGAGGAGCTAAGACCTCAAGGATGCACCGCTGTACCTGTGAGGTTTTAAAAATGAGGAAAAGGGCCGGGCTCGGTGGCTCAGCCTGTAATCCCACGCCTTGGGAGGCTGAGGTGAGTGGATTGCCTG